TTCCCTCGTAGTTTCTCCTCTTTAGGAGCAGGGCACCTTAGTGCTCTGCGACAGAAAACTTACAAATAATAAAGTAGATATAAGAGCTATAAGCTGGCAAAACCCTTTAATCAATGTTATAAAACTTTAAACTTCTTTTTTCTTTCTCTTTTTCTTTCTTTTTCTTTTAATTTGCCAGTGTCCAGCCCTCATAGTGTTAGAAAAATATTTTATATACGGATCATACTCAGTCACTGTAGTGGGACTTGGGTTAAGGGCCACACCATGGTGGGGCCCAGGTGCTGCACTCTCAACTGGTGTTCACCCCCTTATCTCAGTGTGCCACCTGCCACAATTTGATGTTGAAGACAAGAATATCAGGAGGTGACTGTATGGGGTTTGTTGAGATGGGTACAAGTCTCAGTGTCTAAGCATCTTATGTGGGGCTCTGCCTCCTCTACACCCAACCTCTTTCCACTCAGGTGTTCCAGTGATGATTGAGGTGCTTCTCAGGTGCCTGTCTTCACATGGCAAGAGAAAAGGTTTGGTGTGAGAAAAAGCAGCCTAGGACCAAAATGAGCTGGCCAAGCCCTATGATTCTGGTAACGGTCTACCACCAATGATGTCCATACCACATAGAAATTACTAAAACAAATGACATAAGTAGTTATCTCTGATGTCTACTTGTGGGCCTAACTTTTTGGCTTTGTAGTGTGTGTGTGTCCACCTTCTCGGGCAACTGAGGCTCTTCAGGGTTTGCCCCCAGTCGCAAACCTAATTCACAGAGTGGGCCTATATTGGGTCCACTCTTGTGACCACTCTTGGGACCATGGGTACTGTGAACCCCCATGAGGCCCTTGAAGGTACCTGGTATCCAGTGTCCTCAGGGTGGTCACGTTCCTGCTGTGGGAGCTGGGGTTTAGTTGGTCTCCAATGAGATGTCCCCAGTTCTGGGGCCTGCACTGCTCTATAAGGGAAGTTCTGGGTTGATCTGAGCCAATGCAGACCCCTGCATGCCCCCACATGCCCCATGACTGCTGCCAGGTGCTAAGAGCCCTTGTGGGGCTCATTATTGGCTGCAGTTGCCACCTCCCAGCTTCAGGCAGTGCTGGGCATGATGCCCACTTATGCTTGGCTCTGTCCAGGCTACGGGTCCAGGTGGAGCCTGGCTTCCTTCTTTCAGCCCTGCCCAGGGGACAGGT